CTGATAAGAGTCACTCGCGGTCGACTTTGTAATGCTATTATCAGATGTACTTTTCGCCTTCTTTGAAAAGCTTAGACATGACAAACCGTTAAGAARAAAAAAAGATTAATTGAAAATTTCCTACAGATAAACTTATTCTTCAGAAGGAAAAAAACTGGGCGAAATTAACAAATTTTGGAGAGAAAAACTCAGTGAAAAGATGGCAAAATGTGACGAACGATTTTAATAACGTACGTTTTTAACGGGAGAAAGAAAATGTGTCGTAAACTTGGGAATTGATGTTATGTACCTGTTATTCTTACTTGTCTTTTCTTCAATTTTTAATTAATTTTTCTCTCTATTCAATTCTACAACTATCCAAACCACAAAAAATGTTTGAATAAGACAGTTTATTTTCCCGAAGGTAGTATTTATCAACACAGTGCCTGGAGCAATGATTGTATATCCGTTTGAATTCTGATTCCTGTAATGTGATAAACTCGCTAAAATAGTGCTCAATTACTTTAGAATATATGATAATCTTTCCGCTTGTGAATGAAAGCGGGCGTGGAGGTTTGTATACTTCATTGCTAAACCTCTTCAAAAAGTTAGAAGTCGAATTACGACTGCCGTTCATTAAAAAAATACAGAAGAAGAAAAAACGAGAAAAAATTGAACGCTGCAGTTGAAATAAGTTAAATGTGTTTTTTTCGTCCTTTTTGTTCGAAATTATAAGATTAACTTTTTCTTTCTAATTTCTTTAAAAACAGCAGCTATGTTTTGTGTTTTCAAGCTGCTTTCCTATTTATTTCACTATGTTGTTATTTAATTCTTCATTTGTTTTGGGTTGGAAGTTAATGGGATGGAAGACTCCCCACTGGTATCAAGTGACTGGTTCGAGATTCACGCACCGGTTCAATGACTTGACGTCGAGAGCTCAACGAACTCACTGACTTCTTGCTACAGTTTCAATGACTCTTCCAGCGCGCGATTTAAACCGCTCCTTCATCTAAACGTTTAAGTGTCGAACTTCAAGCAAAGACAAAATGCAATTTCAGTTAAATGCTTTTGTGATAATTATGTAACCAGAATCCTAGACCAACTCAGTTTTGCTGCTATTTTTCTAGATAAACTTCCTAAAAATCGTGTGAAGTTTGTCATAACTTCAAACTTCTTCAAAAACGCGTGTTACTGAACGCTTCAAGCTCTCAAAATTTTGCGACTGTAGCTAATTACAAGAACTTCAAATCAAAAAATACAATGGAAATTCAGTTTTGAAAACCTTTTTCTCCTTTTTGGTGCGCCGTTTTTCTAGGACATCTTARAATGCCTTTCGAAGCTATTGTCGTTTTATTCATCGCATTCTTAAGCCAAGTAATTTCCAACTATCGTTAATTCATTAAAACCAATCTAGTTGTATAGTGTCGAAAATTGTCCTCATAAAAAAGGAAAACGGTTTAAGTAGGGCGATAAACTCCCTTTTGTTTTTCAAATTCCCGACAGTTGCTTATATTGTACAGAGAATGAGTGAATAAAAAAGTACAACGGAAAAGGAGCAGGGACAGGTGGRTGGTCTTCTGCTGAAAGATTATGAATCATTCCTGCCGCAAAGCGCGTCAAACTCTCTCTCTCAAAGAAAGAATGTTTATTCAATACGATAAATGATCTCGAAATACTTCTTTAATCTACAAAATAGAGAATTATGACTGTTAGAAAGTAATAACAGTTTATTTGGAGCAAATCAGATTCGAGTTTTATTACCAAGAATCAATTTAAACGCGTTTATTTTTGTTTGTTTATAAACCCCCGCCACTTGAACTTTGCAAACTTGGAGTACAGATTTAATATTGAGATATAAGATTCAATTCAGGTAAAGAAAAGGAGGTTCAAGTAATGAAACTTTCGGAAAAGCTTCGACACGGGAGATGAAAAAAGCCAGGGTTTTTGCTGGAGTGTTTTCACAAGACCCGGAACCTGTCGCATTCGGTTAGAGAGCTGCTAGTACGACACTCGCTTAATTAAGGGTCCCAGTTGAGCAAACATCTCAAGTCAAGGGGCTTCGAACTGCTTCAAATATATGAAGAAAGCTTTTCTTATCTGATTTAATACAAAATATGCTCGCTTGAACATGAACCCGGTTACTTCCCAACCGAAATCACTTTCGTTCTTATTTTTAAGACTTCGAAAATAAGATCGTTCGGAATGACTTTAAATCCACACCTTTGAGTAAAAGAAAAAATATTCACTTATAGGCCTAATTTGGTAATCTATACGGTAAAAAAAAAAAAACCTAAGTCTTTGGTCTCGAAGGCATAAGGTGAAATAAAATTCAAACAAATATTTTTTACGGCTATGTCCAAATCGTACGAAACGAGTTACAGTGATTAACATTGTCTCCTTAATTAAACGCGCGATCGGGGCCGTTATGATTCACTTCTGATTGTTATTATTATTATTGTAAGCAAATTTTTACTAGTCTGGTTAACGAACAAGTACCGACATCAGGTAGTGACTAGATAAAGTTAATGAATTAACTTCACAGAGTTGAAATCAAAGGGCCCTAAGTAAACTATTCACTGGAGCAAGGAACACTGACATTGGAACCGATCGTAACATTATTATAAGAGTCGACTTTTTCAATTGTGAACCGGAAAAACTTAGCGTTCTGGCTTTTATTGCTATATGATATTCAATTCTTAAGTTCTGGTAATCGGAGGATTGCGTTTATAAAACGGTTTCATTTATTCACTGCACTGGTGAATAAGTAGATAAAACGACAATTCTACTCCCTAAGGTGCCAGAATTTCAACCTACAATCTGTCATTTTGACTAATTAAGTTTTGATTTCTTGGGTATGAATTTCGAATATAACAACATTAACGCAAAATGTATTTTCCAATTAACTACTAGTCTTGTTAAGCAGCGATGTTACACCTTTTTTGCCTTATCTCGTTAGCTATCAAAGGCCGTATTTCGGAGTTTTTTTGAAGGATATTCTGGGGTTATTGATGGGAGGTTGTGGGCGTGAATCGCTTAAGTTTACAGATAATTCAATCTCAAAAATTATTATCKGCAGCGCGATTTAGATTACAAGAATCTGTAGGTCAAAGCAATGATTAGAAAATCAAATATTAGATGTTTTGTACGTATTTAATCAAGCTCTTTTCCTTAGGAAATACTGCGTGAGTAAACAAAGCCCGTTTCTTGACGAAGGGAAGTTTTCAAGTAGAGAAACAACTTCACGAAGCCAGTTATGGTTGGCGAATAAATTGTAAAATAATTTTAAGGTTCTTACCCCCAGAAAATTAAAAACTTAGATAAGAGCAGAACACTGCAAGTTGGTTAACAGTTTTTTGTCATTTGCCGCTGCATGCAAGGCTATTATCAAACTAGAAAACCGAGGCATTGTCCGAGATCTTTTACTTGTTCATTAGCCGTAAATATACGACGTGAAAAACAATAAGGTCAGTCAGATTTCCTGTTGAGAATGAGCAACAACTGGTGTCATTCACAATGATCTAACTCATCATGTACCTCCAAGACTTCAGCTGCTTCGTACAAGAACGTTTAATCAAACTGAGCATAAATAAACAGTCCTATCTTGGAAAACTGATGAAAGCTGAGGAGGTCTGATTCACGAACCACAGCTGGTCTAAACATGGAGATAATTTAACCGTTTATGTCCTTTTTTCTATATAATACTTACCGTAAGTCATTGCATAGGGAAAATCACAGCATGCGAAATGAATTCGATGATTTAAGCTTCATTTTTTTAACCAAAAAAGTTGAAAAWTTTTTTTTTGAGTTGAACATTTTGCCGCACGATCGACAAAACGAATACAAATATACACTAAGTTGTGTTTTAATGAAACTTTAAGCGAGTGATCAATTAAGTTTGCTCGAAAAATACACAGACAAAGCAAAAGAACATAGTCGAAAAACCCTTTTTTATTTCGAGTTCTCTAAGATTTTTTTAATAATTTCTTTATTTTCAAGTTGGCGTTCAAAAAAAAAATGGACGACGTTCGCGAACGAACACTACTTTTGTCTCTAGTCATATGGAAGATCGAAAAACGGTCCTGAATGCTTTCACGTCTCTAAACTAACACTTTGAATCTTTTTCACGCTTGTACAAGCCCTGGCATATGAATAAAAGTGAATATTTTCGAAAAACATTTGAATTTTTTTAACAAAAAGGGGGATCAAGTTACTAGGTCAACTTATCACTGAAGACACTGAGTCGAATCAAGTTTTTATCAATGTTGTGAGCGACTCAAGTAGGTGGTAAAAAGGTATTATATAGTCTTTATTTCGAGTGGATATCCACTTGGTATCTTCTAAAGAAGTTGTACAAACAATACAGACTTAAAGAAAGGTCTTTCAATGCTGACTGACTGACTCCCTCGACTCATGATCATGTCAGGGTGTCTGTTTGCGCGCTCGCGCCACAACACTAATCGAGTTTCCATCACAGTTAGATTCTGAAAAACGACTCTTCTCCATCAAATATACAATGAGGGCACCGCTTAAAAGCCTCTGAAACAACTGTGTGTGGAGTCATTGTTTACTCGGACCCCTTGTGTTTTGGCACACCTTTGACATCTTGTAAAATTCACAGAGCTTTGGCTTGTGCCAATGTGGACATAGAAAATAATTTCTCGACACTTGACTGTTTGAAATTGTTTATATAATGACTTGGGGATTAAAGTAGTTTGTTACGGATTACAATTTGCTTGAACTGTATAATGCCCCAAACAAGGCCTAATAGCTTGAGGTATTTATCCGGATTGATTAAGTTACTCCCGTTGTCAGTTTTACGAGTCTTTTCCCAATACATATTCAATGAACTCCGAAGAATGAGATTTTTATTGACTCCTTTGTTTTCTCTTGTTATTAAATCTCAATTGAATTCCGCCTCGGATTATTCCTAAGATAATCATTACGACCTGTCATCTTTTTGTAGAGGATATCTAGTAAATGAAAGTAAATTAGTATAGAATACCACTTGAATGTTYCTTAAGCTCAACACGAAGACGCTCGAGCCTCCGCTTCGTCGTGAAAGAGCTGTATGGAGAAATTTTTTTGGTTCCTACTGGTTTGAGCTGGGAGTGCCTTGTTTGTGAGGCTGGATTCTGTAGAAGTTTACTCTTTGTTAGGATTAAATTAATAAGCCAACAGTACAAAGTCAAATACGACTGCCTTCAACCTGTCAATCACATTAAATGACCACGTCTAGGGACAACAGGACAAAGGACTGTAATATAAGGAAGTTGAGATCAAAAAACGCCTAGTTACACATCAGTACCGCCTTAACGGGACCGCTAGATTCACATCTGTACTCGCAGCCTGAAGACCAACAGCAAACCGATCCTCGAGCATTAGAGAAGGAGCTCAAGTGAAGCTGGACTACAATATCGATCCAAAGATGTTTTTCCCAACGCAAGATTCCATGTTGCTTTACCAACAGTCACCGTACATGTCACAAGTACCTCTCGGACCGAGGAGCACACCAACCAGACCTTCATTTCTGATAGATGATCTACTTGTGCCGAGTAGGGAATCTGCCTACGGTATTATACCAAGACAGTCTCGATCTTGTACTGAACAACACGGGCTACCCACATCTTCAAGCAGTCACTTCAGACCGTATGGAATACCATCTCTCTTATCTCAAAGGCAACGAGAGGAATCTGTCTACCAAGGTTTGTAGTTCTTGTCCATAACTGCGCTACCAGACTCGACTAAACTCCACTTCATGAGCTGATTCTAAGTTTATCAAATTGTCCATAGAAATCGTTTTAGTCCTAAAAACAGCCCATCAATACATGATTAAGACTTATAATGCTTAAAAATTAGGAATTAACCTTATGATTTTGGAATTCTATCTGTTGATTACCKGTATGTAGAACTTCCTTCTTATTTCAACTTTCTGTCTTTGTCAAGCCTTCTTCAAATTTTCATGCTGCACAGAAAGTTTGCACGAAGAAATATTGCTACTCGTTTGAAAATGAGTGAAATAAGACGAGCTAGAATGAGAAAAATCACTGGTTGTTCACAGTGCTCTTGAAGAGCCGTGAAAGTAATAGCGCAAGAAAACTTTCGTCAGAAAGTAACTGTAGTGGAATTCTTCCAAACCTTCAGAGATCTTATGCGGCAAAAAAATATTGATGTATTAAACCAAAGGGACGTCGCATACGATGCAATTTTAGTGATTCTAGCCTGATAATAGTAGCAATTTGCGCCCCTAAATCGTTCAAAGCACATCTGGCTGAAAGTCAAAATGAGCGACCTAAGAAATAGGAACCCTTAATAAGATAAAGATACCACGATTTCGATATCAACGGGGCAGATTTTCGTCATTAAATTTGTTTAAAAATTCCCTCTTCTCTTATCTTAATCAGAAGGCAGATTTTCTAGTTTAACGGGTTGGCAAAGGTGAAGTTTGGAATATTAAAAAACACCGATTACACATTTCGGTGCGAAATTACGAAAATTTTATCTGATAAGGTAGGACACTCCGCAAGTTGTTTCCGTTCGATCACTGTTTTTAATTGCAATCATTTTTTCCAACGAATGAAACAACGATTTTATATGCGCAGTATTTAAAATCAGATTTCAAAGAGGACTAGTTTTACCTGGAACAAAAACTGATCAAAAATCAGCTAAAATCTAAAGTTTCATTTTYATTTTTCTACTCGTAAATTCAATTTTTTTTCGATAATCGTCGAGAAATGTGGGAAAGATCTCAAACGAACACTTTTGAAAAAAAGTTGTTAAATTGTTAAATTCAGCTTATGAGCTAAGAAAATATGTACTTCTTAAAAAGGTGCGAAAACTAGTATACAAAACTGTTCATCTTAGTAAACATTTAATCCCCGCTTTTAAATATACGGCGAAGATTTTTGTACAAAGCGGAATGTTTCTATGTTTGTTCGTGTGATTTGGAAGCCGATAAACTATAATATTCCTAATCCTTATTACTTACTTTACAAAGAACAATTTGTTGTTTCTTGCTTAAATATTCTTCCGGTAAAATGGCTATTATCTAGCCAAATCAAAAGTAATAAAATCCTTATCGCTTAGTTCTTCTTGTAAGTAAACGAGTTAACTTTTAATACCATTCCAAAGAAAATTATCCCTAAAGAGATGAAAGTTTAGTCAACGGCCATTACGCTTATGCGGATTCGTGGTTCTTTAAGCGGAAAGACAGCATCTATGACCAGCATACAGCAAATAAAAACCCATTAGGAAGAATTTTAGTTCATTACAAAGACAAGCATGGAAATTTACACTTCAAACACTCGCACTTTGAGTTTCTTTAAGAATAAGCTCTGTAAACTTTTGATCCATCAAGAAGCTGGTTCGAAAGTGGTGCGAAGATGGCTCGTTTCTGGAAGCTTGAGTTCAAAAGAACCTGGTTTTCTAGTCAAAGTTATAACTTTATTCTAAGTAGTGCTTTTCGTGCTAAAAGGAAAGTAAAATGATCAAAATGTTCTCTATTTTGCGTTGTTTTGTTGGATTCCTAGCACCTGGTACATGGCGTTTGTTGACTTAGAATGACATTACAGATGAACTTCAAAGAGCTTTTACATTCAACACTGGCCATTGAACTGTGGACACAGCCAAAATTACGGAAATCTAAAGCCATTTCACTAGAGGAAATCTTCGCTCAAACAGCCACTGAACTGTAAAGCATTTCCCGTCTTTTCGGATATTACCGCATTAGGCCAAACATAGAAATTGGTGTTCAAGTACACTTGATTACCTCCCATCAATATGTGAAATCGTTAATAAAGTGTCATGAAAATAATTGCGATTGCTTTTCGCATAAAATACCATTCACGGATATGGTATTGACGGTGTTTTTAATTGAAATCGCTCAAGGAATCGTAGACATTCTTCAAAAGAAAAACGCCAGTTTTGTTCTCCGTTCTTCCTTCAGATCAAATACTCATCAAACTTGAGCAAACATTGAAAAGTTTTTAAAAAATTTCTCAGATAAAAATCTCGTCCTTCGACACACTGTCTCATGACTTTTGCTACAAATTTTAACACARGGACAGAAAACGTTTTCACCGTTTCTCTAGTCATAAACATATAGGGGATTAAAATATTTTGCATAGTCTTGGATCTCCAGTGGTCTTTGAGTCATATAGGTCCATTAGTTTTGACACGAACATTGACAAGAGCAGACACAGGGATTTACAAGCAACAAAAGCAAAAGCCGAAACAATGCACAACGAACTAGTTACAGACACGCACGAGAGTAGTGTAGCACTGCAAATCTAATCCTATTCAAAGAAAAAGTTATATTATTTTTTCCAAGTTTGAACTAAATTTTGTTTGTAATTTTCATTTAATGTGTCGCTCATGTCAGGAAGTGTCTTTTTTTGTCTCATCACTAGTCATTGCTTTGGTTTTCAATTATCTCGTAATGACACAGATTTTTCGTTCCTCTTCAGACCCAAGTCCCGAAGTACTGAGCTCTCTGCCAGTTTACTTCAGGTTAAAGCCAACCATTCGCACACCAAGTGGCCGACGTTGCCGCAAATCAAGAACAGTCTTCACCGACCTTCAACTGAGAGTTCTCGAGAAAACGTTTTCCGAACAGAAGTATCTGGACACCTCGAGTCGAGCAAAGCTGGCACAGACTCTAGGCCTGAATGAGACCCAAGTGAAGACATGGTTTCAAAACCGTCGAATGAAATGGAAAAAGGAGACGAACAGAAAAAAGGGAGAGGAAGAAGAAGCTGAAGGAAAGAATGACAAAGACACCAGTAGAGAAGACGACGGACTGAAAAAGTCGTTAAATGAAGATCAATCGACGGAAGACAAACTAGAAGACGACGAAGACGAAGAACAGTCTATCGCCGAAGACCTACAATAGAGATATAAAGAGAGAACATTTTCAGTGGAAATTTAGAGATATTTTTCTAAAAGACCAGCTTATTATCTCTTTTCTTCGCTTTAAGAAAAACCACACGCGTCGCGTTTTCCCGCCAAATTCTGCTTCAGGACAGTAATGGCGTTCATGTACAGTTAATCGAGGGGTGATATTTCCCCCGAAAAAGTGTCACCGTAAAATGGAGTGAAAAGAACTGTAGAACAAAAAAGTTTGAAAGGTTTTAATCGGCCAGTTTTGAATATAGTGGGAGTTTTATAAACCTGGCCCACATTGTACATGATTATAGATTGAATGTCTTAGACACGATTGTACTAGGTATTCTGTAAAAAGTAATCTAAGCTACCAGAAAACCTTTTGAGAGTTTTATATATAGAAGCTGATGTAACACGTGATGCTACGAGTTATGTGGATACTTGCACAAATAGAGCAGTTTTCGTATGACTGTGAAAAGCTTAGTGCCATAAGCGTGCCGTGCCGTGACCGTGCGATGCTTCCTAAAATTTTAATTGGCACATTTCTTTCCCTCGCATTGTGATTCGTGTCCGCGCCGCGTTTATGTCATGTTCCGGGTATTTGATTGAATGGAGAGCAACGTGTTCGTGCCGTGATCGAGGTTTTCACAGTCATACGAAAACTACTCTAAGGAAATGCAGTTATCGGGAGTAAGCTTACAATCTCTCGACATTCAAATGGCTTCTCTACTATCGACCATTCAGCTGCTACGACCATGCACGTTTCTTCACCAGTAATGAAGTTTCGTCCAACGAAAGTTTTCCACCCATATCATCTGTCTGTAAATATATCGTATATTCTGATTTTTTAAGAGTGATTTCATTAATTTCGGAGTTACATTTTGTTGTGTAAAAAAGCGATAACGAAATGATTCCTACATGCATAATCGTGCGTACTGAATAGAAAGTTTAATAGCACAGTCAAATTCTATATATCCTATATCTAGCCGAAGATTCTGCTGAAAAAGTTGGAACCTGAGATTCAACCGGTCGTGTATCGTCGAGCTTTGCGTTCTCACTAGTTCTTGAAGAGTACAGTGAAGTTGAAGTCAAAGTCGTATTATCATAAATTCTCGAACTAACAAATCACTATACTGCTATATAGAAAATAATCTAAAACATGAACTAGTATAGTAATGGTGTAGTGAATCTAAGAGCTGTTATCATCTTGTAAAAGCATTGTAATTTTACTAGCATAAAAGTAACATCCAGCTTGTATGTAAATATTATACTTAGAAACATAATATCAAATAAACAATTGTTTGTATGTTTGAAATGGAGTTTTGAGTGAGCCCGTGATATATAAGGGATGCGCATGCTCCGAACACAATCTCATTCATCACATAAGATTTTAAATTTCATGTATTATCTTGAAGAAGTGAGAAGCAACACTGGTAACTAAATTGTGATGCATAGGATTATGGGATTGCATGTTAACCAAAAGACTAGTAACTTGGTAACCGAGCCAGATTTGATCTCCTAGCTAGCTCATTTTAATGAACGCATTATGACGTAACTAATTCGCGTAATTACAGTATGACGTCATGATATCTCAGTTAGAATCTTTTCTGGAAGGAAAAAAAGGCGTGCTTCAAATCCTTAGTGACGAAGAATCAGGAATGGTTACCCTGCTACACGATCTACCGGATTTTCTCATTCTCAAGATATTCTCTTTTCTTCGCATCAGACAGCGACTATACCTAAGGCGAGTGTCAAAAACGTGGTTCCAACTACTTTATGATTTTAGTATCTGGAAAAGTATCAATATGAATGAGGAATTTTGTCTTTCAAGTTACGCCAATAAGGAGATACTGAAAAGATGGATAAACGACTTCGGTAGAACGCTACAGGGTCTTGATTTGAACAGCACGGATTGGATCACCGATAATGAAGTTAAACAAGTAGCGCGTGCTCGTTTTAACCTGAGGAAGTTTGGCGTCAGAGCCTGTTCAAAAGTCAGTGATGATGGGATCCTGGAAATAGCGCACAATTGCTCTAAACTAGAAAAAATCGACGTCTTCCTGACTAGGGTTTCTAGCGAGGGCTTTGAAGAAATCGTGCGCAGTTGCCCGAGAATAAAAAATGCAAAGCTTGGCAGCCATGGCAACACCCATAGAATGTTAGCTTCAGTCTGCGAGTATAGTTCGAGAATTACACAGCTCTCAATTCATGACGTCGTTCCTTACAGCGCCAATGAACCAACAGTTGACGATACACTTGTCACTAGGATGGCACTTAAATTCCCGGGAATTGAGCGTTTAAGCTTTATCTGGTGTTGCTTCATTACTGACGTGTCACTGGTGGCCTTGGCAAATGGCTGTCCTTCCCTTCGGGGGCTTAAACTTCGCGAGTGCCAACAGATATCCGACAATGGCTYGAAAGAAATACTAAAAAAATGCGCGCAGCTTGAATTTCTTTGCCTTGAGAGACTCTACACAGTAACAGATATGCTTTTCCAAACCCATCTTGGCGAGGGCTTGAAGTTCTCAAACATTCGTAAACTTCAAATATTTGACACAAAAATAACCGATGTTGGGATAGAAAAGTTGGTTGAACACTGCCCTCAACTACGCGACTTTTCGTTTGGCGAGTACAGTTTTCACCCGAAGTATATCAAAGGTACATGCGTAGCAAATGTTGCGCGTAGCTGTAAAAAACTCAAATCCCTACACGTCTTCTGTGAAGAAGTCAACGACGACAGCTTATTCGCAATAGGTGAATCTTTGAGACATAAATGATTTGAGTCTTGGGGACTGTCGTCGTTGCACTGCGGTTGGTGTGCTGGAGATTGCGCAAAAATGCCAAAGGCTTCTTCGCTTGAGCATTAAGAACTGCAATTCTTTTGGAAACAAAGAGCTTTGCCAAATCAAGAAGTGTCTTCCGTATCTGAAAACTTTAGAGTTACCAGGAAATACTCGAGTTTCTCCATTGTTCGGGTCGTGGTGTTACATGACAAATAACCAAAATCATCTTCGCTTGCCATAGTGATTGATATTCGAAGTGGACCTACGTAGGGGAATCTTGCAATCCCTAAATAATTTTCCTTGCGAGACGAGTCGCAACACGGAATTGATGTGCAGGTGGGACAGCTTCTTGTAATAGGTAACAAAGACAAGCTGAACAAGAAATCGACGCATTTCACAGCGCCTTACGTGCGTAGTTTCTCTAGAAATGAAAATATATTATTGAACTTCCCTGTAGCATAAAGAAAAGCACTTTGCTCAGTTATACGTGCAGGTACGAATACATTGTGATCTTGTGACTAAGCAACATGAACCGCGAAGCATTATAAGGAACTGTTAACGGTTCTTAGGCGAGGATAAATCAGATGAATAAGTGTCAGCCTTGCTACAAATATAGAAATAAAATTAAAGAACTCAGACTTTAGTCATTTGACGAGTTTTTTTGTTCGCATTAAATTTATCTTGGAAGGTTATAATTTTAGTTTTGAGTAATTTTGAATATTTTTCGATTTTCGAGTAAGAAAAAGTGGGCGAAAGGATATAACGCGTGGTGTGTAAATTTCGATTTACAGAGCTAAAAATTTCTGAATCTCGATAAACAGACCGAAAGGACGATAAAACAATAGACGGGAAGACATGGTTTCTTATGCGCAACAAATGTTCTCGGACTCTGAACAGAAAGAGTTTAAATTTAGCATGTTAGGTTTTGAGGAGGGAGGAAAATCGGATAAAAACCCTGGAAACAAGTTAGATAACATCAAACTCTATTCACATGGAATCCCGAGTCTAGTAATATAACTCGAGACCCCAGAAGTGAGAGGCGAGTGCACTATACAGGAGCGGATCCAGGAAGTTTAGAAGGGGGGTTACTATTACAAAGGTTTTACCAGGAACTCGAGAAAAAGGGGCGTGACTGTTACTTGCGATATACTGAGAAATTTGATCAAAAAGGGGTGACTAGTCACCCCTTTTGCCACCCCTGCTACAACTACGCCACCATCGTTATTTCCTACGAACCTAACGAAAACAGCTCAACGAAGCTCTTCGTAAAAAATACTTTGTAATAAAGCATCAAGGTGAACCTTCGTTACATGGAAGGACGAAAAAACGAAGTTTGAACGTTTTGATTTATAACAAGTTGATAACCGGACGAAGGATCATAAAACGATTTGATTGGGTCCGAGTATTATCCGTAGCTTGCACGTTTCGATCAATAAAAAGGCGACAACCAGACGAAGGATCATGAAACGATTTGATTGGCCCCGAGTATTATCCGAAAATGTCTACTTACTTATTTACATATACGATGACGTAGTAGCTAATCCTTCCCAGAAAGCAGGAGCTACAAAAGGGGATTAAATAATTCAGGCTCAAAACAACTGTTTTTGTCAATTTTCATTTAAAAATTGAAGRTAAAAAGAACATCCAGATGCTACAGTATCTGAAACTTATTTTACGCGATGAGAGTTCATTACAATAATTAAAGCCTAAGTTTAACTAACCATTATGTACAGCCTTTGGTTACTCTTCCCTCCCAAGGGGGTAGGGGTAGGGAAGAGAGTCAACTTAGCACTGGTTGTGCTTCAAGTTTATACAGTAGGTCCTCGTTACATGATGGTAGAATAACCTCAGTGCTTGCTGTTGTTATTAAGGTTTCTCTTTACATAACAACAAAGTAGGGTATCCATAGTCCTTGGGCCTGCTCTTGGGTACCCTGGGGACACAAAACAAGACTCTTTCTCAGCACCACGGTTATCCCACCATAAAGTAAAGAGGGCCAGGTGCAAGAACGAAAACCGTCGTTATGCGTTTGTCTTGAGGAAGAAGTCAATCTTGTACCGAGAGCCCTTATCTTACTGCGCATGCTAGACGAAAATAATMATTTCGTCGAGCACGCGCAGTACGAAATAAGGAAAGAACTCGTTCCCACCGCCTTTTCTAGACCAGATTCAGCCAACACAACCACCTTCTAACAGCGCCTTTGGTTTATGTTAGCATGTACCTGGAAAAAAAWTTTTTTGTTGACATTATTGTGGATAATTTATCTTCGAAGATTGAGACATACGTACGAATAGCTTAAAATTAGAGCTTGTGCTTTTTGGTATCTAAATTCTTTAACTAATCTACGAGATTTTGATCAGAATTTAAAGCAGTTACTTTACAYAAGAGAGAGAAGCGTAACTTAATCTGAATCTTAAATGGGTTCCCCTTTGAGCCAATCAAAAACCACGAATATGCACATCAGCCAATCGCAGTCCTTGAATTCGGAAGCCAAYTGAGAGCATGGGAAGATAAGGGGGTATTTTTGCACGGCTGTAAGGGTTTACCCCAGTGCATTGTTTAGTAAAAGAACTTGTAGTACTTGGCAGCATCTACTGGCGTTGAATCGCGCTGGAAGAACATCACCAGCTCACAGTGTTTGGTGTGCGGGAACAGATCCACTGGGATAGCCTTTACCAGACGGAATGGCCAGGAACGGATTCTCTTGGATGTTGGACGGCACAGACTGAAAGAAATATAGAAATATATCATACTCGATGATGGAAACTCACACTGGATTGTGGGAACTAGCAGTAGACTACGTAAGCCTAGCTTATATTGCATTATGGGATATATCATTTTGAAAAGTCGCTTATTGCATTCTTGGATATTTCATTTTTTGATATTGCATATTGTATTATAGAGGCTTTGCACCATCACAAGCCAGCGCCCATGATACAACTTAGACTGTCTGTGGCTAGATGGCAGAATAATAAAATCCCTTTGCTCTTGGGAATTGAATTCTTTCTCATGTGAAAAGATTGCATTGTTTGTGCCATCCAACATGGCTGCCGTCATGTGATGGTGCAAAACCTCTATTGGATATTTCATTTTGACCAATCGCATATTGCATTATGGGATACCTCAATTATCGCATATCGTATTAATGGAACACAGCTTATATTGCACTCTGACATATTACTGACATAGGCAGCCGTTATTTGGTCATGTCTTGTGGATTCCCACATGACATGTAAGCTAACTTACTCTAATAAGTTTGAAAAGGCAGAATTTGGGTTGCATGAGACGTAGATCAGTTTATCCATCTTCTGGCATTTCCTTATGGCTTGAATTACGGTGGAATCTGATGGACATCGAACAAAACACGTTAAACAGTAGCACTTATATATGATTCTACATACATCTAGTAATACTCTACAGTCATTTTCCGGTGAAAAACCAGAAACAAAACACTGGGGAATGGTTGTAAGACCGTCAGAGATCAAGGATAAGAAAATCACGACTGCACGGCGGCATTGAATGTATTGGTGGAGTAAGTGTGTAATTGAATAGATTCTTACGTTAGGAGGGTAGGTTGATGGGTAAAAGGGGGATAGGGTGAAAGAGAGAGGATGAGAGAGATATATATGGCAAGGGAGAAACGCGTACCAGTTGCACGCAACAGGACTGTTGCAGCGTGTGTCTACCCCTGAAACTTGTTGCACGCAACGTTGAATGCAACAAATTTAAAGTTGAATCGCGTTCTACTCTTGCAACATTGCGCGCAACAAATGTCATCGTGTGAACATGGCTGCAACATTTAAAAAATTCCAGCCAATCAGCTTGCACCAAATTCACAACCGCTGACCAAATGTTTTAGCATAGCAGACTGACACAAGCGATGCTGCGTGATTTTGTTGCTATGTGTGTCACCCTGATTCAAATTTGTTGCGTACAATGTTGCGTGCAACGTTGCACCGTGTGTCGGCACCTTTAGTAGTGCGTAGTAATGGTGGGATTAAAGTTACGGTTTATCCCAGAGTAGTTCTAAGTAGAAAGGGAGGAAGGGGTACCTAGGTGCTTCCTTACTGCTAGTGTTAGTATTAGTATTACTGATACGTACGTAATCCCGCGCGAGGAGGGTCCACGATGCCGATAACCGGAAGCTTTCGAGGCAGTTTTCTGAACACTTGATCGACGATCACATCCTCTGCTTTTCCACAAACAAACCTGGCGTTTGTGATTCCTACACGAAGTTAAAAACAAATCAAATCAAGGTTCAGACGCATAGTGAAGTACGTAGCAGCCCTTCCTGTATGAATACTTTGAATAAAGGAATAAAGGCTACTCAAAAAGACCTATTCAAAAGACCTGTTCAACTTGGGCGTTTTCCCATTTTTGACCACGTGCCTTTCCCTTGAGAATAAGATTCCTTGTTTAATTGCTATCCACACCATGTGTAACCGTTAAACAAAAAAACGATACAATAGGGAATTACAAGTGGTTTGAAATGGGAAAACATTATGCCCAAATTGTGAGGATCTATTCTGGCCAGCCGTACGTGGTATTAAGAATCGTATTTCATTTGCTGACAACATCATGTCATTACAGCAACGCTGCAAATGGTTCATGAAACTTGTTGTGTACGATATCTCAATTCGGTGAGCATGGGCTACCTGTGGTTTTACAGCACCACAGGTACTTACCGTTTAACTCGGCGTTCTGTCTTGCGTCTTCTACAGCATTCGCGATGATTTCAACACCAATGACCCTCGCCACGTGCTGTTAAAAGAAACATAATCAATGATCATTCTATGAAGAAGTATGTCTAGTTAGGTTCATCATTTGAGTGGTCAGCTATTGGATGATTTGGTCAGTTGGTTTGGTGTCAGTGATATGGTCGTTCAATCAGTTGGTTAAGGGTTTGTTGGTCAGTTGATTGTCAGTCATTCAATAACTCACCCTTGCGAGACTTAAACCAATTGACCCAGGTCGTTCAATCAGTCAGTCAATGATTTAGTTATTTATTCAGTCACTAGGAGGTTCAATTAGTCGGTTGATGGGTTGGTTGTCAGGTTATTGTCATTCTTTGCATAACTCACCTTTGCAAGACTTAAACCGATAGACCCTGTGCCACAGCAGACATCTATAAATATAAAGAACATTAAGCGTTAACCTATCGGCAGGGGTGTGACAAAGGACCATGCTATCTAGTCATACAAATGTGATACAACACATATAATAGCTCGGATGACCACCTTAAATAGTGGTCCCGTCTCTCCACACTCATCATTACTAACCAACATCGGAGGGACGTAAAAGAACCACTGAGGACGTAACGAAACCCTGGCAGTGAACACCCTCAGTGCCTCCACTTCATACTAACCATCTCTCATTCATAAATCATTGTAAAGCGCCTTTGAACATATCCATATGGAAAAGAGCGCTATATAAATATCATAATCATAATCATCATCTTTCCGAGGTTGAGAAAAAAACTGGGTTGAGTTGCCATACGGTGCATTATAGAACTATTTTAGGGGACATATTTCCAAGATGGTGTTTATTGTCACAATGCACTGTAATGTCAACATGACCCAGTTTTTTCCTCGTCTTTTAATGTTCTGATTAACATTGAAGAAAGGGCTTACCTAATAAGGTAGCATTTTCACAGTCACCCATCCATTCTTTGATTTTATAGAACATCATTTCAGCTGCCTTGGTGTTAACTTTAAAGAAAGGTAATCAAAGCTATGAATTACTCATATACAAGGTGAGTCAGATTGAGTGCTTCATTGTGTCACGTGGGGAAAAAACATGATATAGACCAAAGACCAGAAGAGTGGAAATGTTGTGGATTGAGGATAAATCACTGAAACCAAGTAAATACCTTGAAGCACAGGACAAAACCCACAAAAAACAACATTTACATATGATGACAGGTCWGAGAATTGAACTATGTCAACAGAGGTGAGAAAGCAGTGCACAAGCCATGAATAAATTAACCTCATCTTACCCCACCCCAGCAACCCAAAATATCAATATGAGGATGTAGCCACAGACAACAAAAAAGGTGCATTCTGGTCCCCTTTGGGGTACCATTATGTCTTTCATTATCATTCTTTAAGTTTAATAACTGAATTAAGTTGAGTTTAATATCCGTATCTCACCTTGAAAGAATGCATTGGGAGAGATTCTGAATTTCACATCACACAGCATTTCATAAATACACTGAAAAAGTACAAAACAAAAGACAAATTGAGCAGAACTTATCTTTGCACAGTCCATCTTTCTTTACTGAGCCACCAAAAAAACAAGACTCTCCCCTTCTCTTGGCTAATTTACAGCCATTACAGGGGTGGATCCAGGAATTTTAGAAGGGGGTGACTATTACAAAGGTTTTACCAGGAATTTGAGGAAAAGGGGGGTGACTGTTTCTAACAATATACTGAGAAATGTGAGGAAAAAGGGGGGTGACTAGTCACCTACTTCACCACCCTGGGATCCGCCCCTGCATTACTATAAAGAGTTCTTACCGGTTCACCAAAAAGTAAAGTAAGGGGTGCCTCAGCATTTCCTCCAACAGCTCTGAAAAAAATAATTGAAATGACAATATTAGAATGTTTGCCACACTTTTTTTATTAACTAAGAGTGAATACCATAATCAACAGATTGAAATACCATAGTCAACCTTGTAATAATTTTGGTGTTTTATTTAGAAAACTATAGAAAACTATATGAGTCAACTGCTTTACAATTTCATGTCATTCCTCAACAGTACTGTAAGTTTAATTTTTTGTTTGCAAAAGTTTAAAAGTTCAAAGTTTGAGAAGATACACTGATGTGGAGGAAACTTAAACAAAACATCTTAGACCTGATCCACTATTTTCCCATTCCTGTTGACATGTCATCCCCTTGAGTATCATTTATTTCTTTACCAGTATAATATTAGAAAACACATTGATAAAGTGATGGCGTCAATTAATTTTTTTTGTCAAGTTATTGACAAATGGTCTGAAATGGGATAAGATTACAGTCAAGTAGACTGAGTGTTTATCATGCACGCACACACCTTGTGTGATTAACTTGAGCATACAGAGACGTCAGGTTGCAATCTTTGCCTTCTCCTTCGGTAAAGAACTCTTTAATGGAATTCACTTCTTTATCCACTGCTTCCTGGATAAAAAAAAGTTTTAAAAAGTAAGTTTATTTTTCATAAAGTCTCAGGATGGGGAAGGTGGAGTTGGTGGAAATAAAAGATGAAGGAAACTGACTCCTTTCCCTCAAATTAAAAAAGGGTAAAATAAAAAATGTAAAATAAACTTGATTCATTTCATCTTTACCTTTGTCATGGACTGTGGGTTAAACTGGACGACAACCATGGACTCGCCATACTGGGTTGAACGGACTGTTAAAGTCTGCCAGTGACTAGAATAACAAATAATTAAATACTGTATATCAAAGGGATGTATACAAATTTGTTCACTTGACACCTAGTCAATTAGTCAATCTATGGTTTGTGTTAAGTGCATATGAGCTAAGATTGAAAAATATAGAATAAGACTAAAACTGGAGAAGTGACAAGACTTGAAAATTTAGTAGACATTAGAAGCCCCTCCTTTCTGCCCCCCTTCCCCAGAAAATCTACAGCTGATATCCTAATGAAGGCACTAGCCTTGGAGATGAGGTGCTTATATAAGAAAATATGACTTTGAACTGTTGACAGTAAAAGCTTGGATTGCAACCAAGTCATTATTCGAGGGCATATCTAGGGGAGGGTTGCAGGGGATGCACAACCCCACCTAGATTTTTTTTTCATAAAAAATTATTTGACTCATTGGTTTGTCCCGATCATACATGGTGCACCCCTCCTATGAAAAAACCATTGATCTGCCCATGTTATTTGTGCAACTGAAACCAATTATCTTAAGACAACAACATACCCAGTGTGGAAGCAAAGATCGTAAACAGCTAGGGAAGATCTTCTGATGTAACCCTGAAAGAGCTAAAGAAATCACAACCAGAGTAAGAACAGACATCAAACCTCAGGTAACCTAAGCTGATAAACTGTCAAAACTTACTGCGGCAACTTTCTTGGCTATTTCGGATATGTGAATACACTCTGATGGTTCAACGACTCCACTATATCCATCTGTGAAATAATGATAGAATAAAGTTGAGTTCATTATCTTGTATATGTGATGTCACAGAGGTGGATATTGGATGCATTTGGTTACAAATATCACTTCATTAACGTACATCACATACAGTAATATTCATATCTTACCTCTGTATGATCCTACTCTGAAACCAACTGTTTTGTCTGAACAAAAAAATAATGATTCATATTTAACACTGGATATACATCTTGATATAGAGAGGGTTTCATTGGTGATTTTTAATGGACAATGATAAGACAACCCTGACACTGGAGTTTAATATAAACCTACAAATACATCCCTTCCATAGCCCCTGGAGTTAAATAATCCTAAAACCATCCCACTCCCAGCTCCATTAAAGTTCAATAGAAGACTATGAAAAACAGTAAGGTAAGACTACTACATTACTTCCCTGCCCTCCTTCCCCTGAGATTTAAAAAGATACTATTGAAGTATTCCTTTCCTAACCCCACAAGTACAACAGGATACTACAGAAGTATCCAACACCCAATATCATGGAGACAAAACTCCCCTCCTGTCCCCTGGGGTTTGATGAGAGAGTAAAGTATCCCCTCCCTCACCCTGTTGAGTTCACCAGGATACTATATTTACATCCATCATCCAATATGTTGGAGACAAAACTCCCCTTCCATTTCCCCTGGGGTTTAATGAGAGAGTAAAGTATCCCCTCCCTCACCCCCTTGAGTTCACCAGGAAACTATATTTGCATCCATCATCCAATATCTTGGAGACAAAACTCCCCTTCCATGTCCCCTAGAGTTTGATGAGAGAGTAAAGCATCCCCTTACAGTACCCCCTGGAGTTCAATAGGATATTATAGTAGTATCCATCATCCAGTATCCTGGAGATACAACATACCTCCATCAGGACCTTCGGCAATGGTAAATTCACATTTATTGCGGTAACCATCAACTACAGGCTGAAAATTGGCACAAAAACAATGTTACTGCATAGATGATGGGATGAGGTTTGAGTTCATGCCAAGAGTAACTCACTCATTCATTTTTCATATTTTCTAATGATATTTTAATAATATTTTTCTCTACTCACTGATTCAATGCAAGGAAGAAGCTCACAGCATAGTCCTCCTCTAGATTGGCTAAAAATTAAATGAAAAATGTACTTGTCAACCTCAAATACATGTGGCTAAATGAAATTTAGGAAGAGTTAAAATCAAGGAGCAGACTCAGACCACAGCAGGGCTTCCTTTATGCAGATCATTGTGGATTTATTCAATACTTGTGTGCTGGCACTTTTTGCCGAGACATTTTTTTAAACCAAAAACAAAACTTACCTTTCCTGTTCAACCCAAGACCCCTAGAAAAAAAAAAAGGAACAGAAAGCTTATTTTAYGCTCAATTCCAATTCTGACCCCATTGCAAATAAATACTAGCCTTTAATATCATGGTCTAATCTAAATTTAATACATAATCGTATAGCTACAGTACCTTGAACTCCATGACGTTTTTTAACTGTTTTGTCAGCTTCTTCAATACATCCACCATGCTCTTAGCCTTTATCTGAAGGGAATAAGATTGATGACAATTAAAAATTAAAGAAAGCCAAAACCAAACGAAGGAAAGAGATATGGTACTGCACTTACTTGTATCTGAACTGGGTAAGGTTGGTCCCATAATGGAGTCACTGACTGATTAAGTCTGAGTATCAAAACCAACGTTAACAATTAATTAACTTCTTCCAAAAGTAAACTAGCAAATAAACAAGTTTGAGCTGTGTCGGTGTACTAAGCATTGATGATGGGGATGACATTAGTAACTTTAACCCTGTTAGCAGAGCTTAAAATAACAGCCATTCATTGGAAAATGGCCAGCTCTTGTCTAGTCAAATCTTTGCCTTGCTGGTCATTTTAAATGTGTAATATTGAGCCAGAAATGAGGTAAGACTGAGATAAAACTAATTTGACTGGTCATCAAGACCGGCAATCAACTGACTGGCTGATATTTTAAGCCCTGTAAACAACCTTCTGTCATACCAACCCAACCTAATTATAGCAAATATGCAAACTGCCATGCATACCTCTCCATTATAGATTTTTTTTCCTCCTCAGTTTTAGCTACTTTAGTCCTTTTAGCATCTTCATTAGACTGTGCTGCCTCTATTGATGAACAAAATGCCAAAACATTTAGCATAGTTAAGTTTAGCTTAATTAATGAATTTGCTACTGTAGTTTGTCAATTATGATTATCAGAAAATAAGTTTTATACGTACCTTCTATAAATCTCTTCCTGGCCATGCCTTCTGCCCTTTGAGCTGCAACAGGGTCGGGTAAAGCTTTGGCCAACTAAAAAATCAAATTGTTTGATCTACAGTTACAGTCTGTCAGACGTATTATTCTGCTTAAGAATATGTTCCTTCCTAATGGTTCAAGTTGCAAGAACAGACATTGTGCAAATAACGAAATGGTAACGTAATTTTTCAATACACTGTGTAAAAAAGTTTCAACTATACTGACATTTTARATATTAGTCCCTTGTTTAAGTAAAAAAACATTACAATATCTACCTTGGTAACCAGTCGTTTACCCTTCCATCTTGTGCCACGCAGAGATGTCAGTGCTTTCTGTAAGATTCAAAGACAGACAAGCTCTATCAAACWGGGAAAATATGGAAACACAACAAAAACACTTAAATCAAAATATAGCTACGAACCATTCTTTCTGCTTCATTTCTGGAAAAAAAAGGATGATTTGATTAAATTTCTAAAAAGTAAATATTTAACAAAAAGTATAAAAAAAACACTAAAATAACACTAGAATTTTTTAGATGTTTACAATAATAATGTACAGTTAGGGGAAGTGGGAGTTAGAGAAATAAAACACAGAGGTACTGTAATTAAATTACCTGAAAGTCACAAATGCGTGGGTTGCTCTTGGGATTGCTTTGATTTTAACAGGCTTGATGCTTAACCTTGATGTTATCAACTTCTTGAATTGCTGAAAATTAATGTAAAAAAGATTCATTTTCATTTTAATCTTGAGACCAAAATCACTTTGAATTGGAAAGGACAGTAGAACCTCTATAAGTGGTGCATCTTTATTTAGCAGCTAGTTGCCAAAGTCCTACAGATGGTTAATTCAAGTGCTGATGCAGGGGAGTGAAGTGAATTGGTTGACTAGTCACCTCCCTCCCCCTCCCTGGAGTGGATGCTACAGTATGTGATTCCTTTTTAAGTAACAGTCACCCCTTGATCTCTCATTTTATGCAGAAACTCATACCTCTATAAAGCAACCAACCAGTATTTAGTGGCCAGTTTGCGGTAGTCCCTTTTTCTCATTCGGTAAATACCACTACGTTTTATGACTTAAGACTCACCTGCACAGGCTAAGCCTCATTTAAGAGCAAATCATTTACAAAAGTTAATCATAATGCAAAGAATGTGCAGCTTGAACATTACCAATGTTTTGAAATCCCACAGACAAATGGCATTTGTGAATAGTTGACTCAAAAATGAGGCTAAGCATGTGCAAATGAGTCTGTGGTCTTTGAAAACAGCAAAATGCTGGTAGTTGTTGAATAACGGATCTAATAAATATGCAAAGAAGTTTGAAAACAGTTTGTATATTTTTCGTGGTTCAATAAACCCTTCCACTTCCATTAAACATGTTTGACATCAAAGGAAGACCGGTAATAAACTCATGTTTGCTAACTAATGTAGGAACAAATATGGTGCAGCTTACCTTGAAGCCATATTTCCTGGGAAGATTTCCAATTTCTATTTTGAAGATCTCAGAAGTGAACTCATTATCTCTTCTTGTGTAGGAATAGGGATCAATTTCCTCATCTTTTTGCTTGGATTCTTCCCCATCCTCCTCCTCATCATCATCGTCTTCACCATCCTCATCATAATCATCGCCATCTTCGTCATCATCACCATCATGGTCATCATCACCATCATTATCATCATCATCATCATGCTCTTCCGAGGGCCCTGGTTGCTCCATGTCAACCTCTGGTACATCTTTTTCACCTTGTTCTTGCTTCTGACTGTTGATTCCTTCTACTTCCTCTGAAATAGCTCCTTTCACAATTGTATCCATAGTAACAGGCTCTTTTTTAATTCCTTCTTCGTTCACATTTGATGCATTAGCTTTGCTTTCAATTAACTTTTCTTGCAATTCTGAACCTCTAACTTGACTTTCACTCGGATTATCATCGTTTCCAGCACTTTCTCCATCGCCCAAAGGTATGAAATCCAAACCAAATATGTTTGTGGAGACTTCTGGTTCTTTTTCTATCGTAGAGGAAGGGTTTGTTTCCAAATTTGAAGGAGCAACGCTCACCATTTCTGTGTCATCCGCCATCTTGGATTTCTAAAAAGACGCGCACGTTGCACACAGGAAACCCAACTAGGAAAAAAGCCCGGTTTCTAAGCACAGGAAGCCCAATTTATGAAAAAGTGGAAGTGGAGAGTACAATAAAGTGCCCCTTATATGTTATTCTTTACAATTCGTAATTTTGTTTTACGTTGATCAAATGGTATAAAGTATTATTTAACCTTTTTTACTAACACACTGTAATATACTACAGCACCTCTACACAAAGTGACTGGGAGGATATACACGTGATTCAACTTTATTAATCCGCCATTAATTCTTATCAACCCTTTTTTTCCAGTTTCCGAACAAGCCCTACAGGAAATGGTTCCCAATATCGGAGCGCAAATGAATATATYTCCAGTTAATGGTACTGGTTTGGATTAACTACGCAAAAGAATTGAGAAGAAGGAAAACTACTGGAGGATGTCATACTGGACGTTGTCATACCACCTGATGGACAACAGCTCAGTTATATGCAGCAGCAGTAAGRGGRACTCGCGGTCAATGTCAAAGATTTACGGGTTTTACAGGCGGTTTAAGGAAGGCGCCGGCAGCGGGAATAAGCCGCGCGATAAGTCCTTACTGCTGCTGTGTTG